GGTATCAGTTAAGTCATAAGACTTCCCCCCTAATTTGAAAAAGATTCTGTTAGCCATCTCTCTCCTAAAAACTGATGATAAGAAGAAAAAAAATGCTTTAAACGAAGACGGAATGTGGGTTGAAGACCCTTGTGGCCTGGATCGGACCGCGAGAAGGTTGAAATTCTAAGATTTGTCGACTCACGCGCTGGCGCGTGCCGCGCGTGAGGTCGAGGTCTTAGAAGAAGAGGTGGAGCGTGCGAGCGCGTGTGAGACTTTCTGTGGATGGGTCTTTTTGGGGTTGAGTCGCGGGTGGCTGGTAGGTGCTTTGGTGGAAAGAGATTGTCAGAAAAGGAAGAGGGAGGGAAGATTCCGGTGATCAGAAGGATCGCCGGTGGGGTTAAAGGTTGGGAGATGATTTAAAGATTACATTGGGATTCGTGTCTGGGAGCCTTTTTTCAAATTTTCACTTCACTAACGAGACCTTCTTTAAATAGTTATTGCTCAAGTACATTCTCCACAAGGACTGCTTAGTCCTAAAATTCCACCATAGTTTAGCATATAAAGCTTTTGAAACATCCCGTAGACTTCTAAATCCCAGTCCACTTCGTCATACGGATGACACAACACTGTCCAAGAGGTCCAGTGTTTACTAGAGTTTCCTACTGAGTTACTCCAAAAAAACTTAGCAAACATCCTTTGTAGGTTGGCTATAACCCATGCAGGTGGATCGCAGGCTGATAACAAATGTATGGGCATGCTTTGCAAGACATGCTTAATGAGAGTGATCCTTCCACCAATGGATAATACTTTTTCTGTCCAGGAGAAAAGTCTGTTGCTTACCTTATCCAAAACCCATCTTTGTTAACACTTTGGTTAAAAATAACCATGAAACTCTGTCATATGCCTTTGTCATATCCAGCTTTCTTGCAACATTAGCTGGCTTACCCCTTATCCTAATATCATGTACAATTTCCTGTACTAACAATATATTTTCAATAATGCTCCTTCCCTTAACAAATCCTGCTTGCTGGGGGGAAATGATTGTTAGAAATAGGTGTGCTAGTCTGTCATGTAGGATTCTGGAGAATATCTTACTACTAAAGTTGCTCAAACTTATAGGCCTCATGTCAGAGAAGGTCATGATCGCTTTCTTTTTGGGCAATAACACTAGATTAGTACACGTGACATATCTAGGTAGGTCTTGCCCACAAAAAAAGGAATGCACCATAGATACCACATCTTCTTCAATTATCTCTCAACAGTATTAGTAGAACTTCTCAGTGAAACCATCAGGGCCACCTGTGCTGGCTGCATTAAGACCAAATACTGCTCTCTTTACTTCTTCAATTTCTGGTATTTCATGGATCAGTTTATTTTGATCTTCATTGACTAGTTGAGGTATATGATTCAATATGTCGAAGTTAGATGGAATATGAACTTCAGCAAACTGATCTGTGTAAAATCTGATAGCCTCCTGGATGATATCCTCCTCCTTATCCAACCAAATACCATTTTGATCTTGAATCTTCTTGATTTGTAACTTCTTTCTCTAACCATTTACATGTGAATGAAAGAACTTTGTGTTTCTATCTCCATCTTTGAACCATTGCATCCCGGCTTTTTGTTTCCGGAACTTTTCTTCCACAACATAAAATTTGATAAGTTCTGCTTGCACTTTTTGTAGTCTCTCCCTGTTTCCACTAGTAGGATGTTGTTCAAATTCTATTTCATTCACCTTCACCACTTCTTCTAGAGTTGCTACCTGTTTAAAAATGTCTCCATATGTATCCCTACTCCATTTAGCCAGTGCCTTACTGACTTTTTTCATTTTGTTATGAACCTTAAAGAAGGGGTCTGGACCAAAGTCCCCTGACCAATTTTGCTTAACTACCTTCAATAATGACTCCTGTTCCACCCAAAAATTAAGAAATTTGAAAGGTTTCTTAACAATTTTGCCATCTTCTTTGTAACTGATTAGTAGAGGAGTGTGATCAGAACCTTGTTTAATCAAGTGTTCAACTTCAATATTCGGGAACATATTCATCAAGCTCTGATTCCCCAAGCACCTAACCAACCTTTTAAATATGCAAGCATCATCTGACCTACCATTCCACCAAGTGTATATGCTTCCAGTGAATCCCATATCAACGAGTTGACAAATATTTACACAGTGCATAAAGTCTTCAGTCTCAGCAAATGAGATTGGCAGGCCACCAAGCTTCTCAGCCTCATCTAGAATTACATTGAAATTCCCCCTACAAGCCAAGGAGAATGAATTTGTGTGGATAATTCATAAAGAGCATCCCAAAGTTTTATTCAAGTATCTCTATCATTACTTGCATAAACCAATGAAACAGTGATTTCCTGATTGCCCTCCACCTGAGTCAACACTAAAGTTAGCATCTGATCAGTATCCATTATTGTTTCAACTTGGAACTCATCTTTCACAAATACCCAAATCTTCCCATTGATGTTATGCCAAGTTGTACCCATTCCCAACCACTGTCTGTACATGTCTATATCTCTAATGTACTGGAAGGGTTCCATGACTTCCATCAAGGCTATAAAGTTAAAATGTTTCTGTCTATTCATCATAACTACTCTTTCAAATGCCTGTTGAGTGTTTACAGACCTTATATTCCATATAAGCGAATTATTCATGGAGAAGTAGTTTTGGCACTAGCTAATCTTGTTAGTACACCCCCTGCTGCCTTAGGGGGCACACTTTTTTCTCTAATGCATTTTGCTTGTCTGTTCTCTTTTTTCAATCTTGCTGTATGTCTAGATGATACATCACCTCTGTTTCTTATGAACTCTTCCTCCTGTAAGCTTGTATTTTTGTTGTGTTCCACATCATTATCAACCCCAATATCAATATGTTCATCATTCTTCTGTTCATCATTTATTGTTCGTGATTCTGGTTAAACTCCTCCTTCAATAATCTGCTCATTGTCTGTATTTATATTAGATTTTTGGGAAGACTCCTGTATTCCACTTTCTTCAGTCTGAATCTGTGATATTGTTGTATTATGCCCTTGTGTTTCTCCTTTCTCCTGTTCTTGTTGTTTCTCCATTACCAATTTATTATCAGTTGTCTTCTCTAGCCATCCAGGATCATCAGGTGGTTTATCTTCTAGTGACTTATCATCATGTGGTTTTTCAACCTCTGTTTTATGAATTTATCTCTATTCTTTTCCTTCTCCAGTACGAAGTCCCCATTATGCTTTTTTATTTCTTGATTTGCATCAACACTCTGCCCCTCTATTTCTAGTTCCCCTCCTTTTTGTTGTGGCTTACTATTTTTGAATTTGGATTCATTTACCCTGGAGCTATTACTGCCAGCACTATCAGAGATATCAGTTATATCTTTGATGCCTTAATAAATTGTTTGCTTGACTGGGTCTGTTTGCTTTCCCTCATACTCTTGTTCTTTATGTGTCTCAGCTTGCCTGGCCTTATTCATATTGGTTGTTTGGTCAGTAACTCTTGGCTTTGTTCCACTCTCTTTGTCTTGTTCTTTACCAAATGACGCTCCACCCATAATTTTGTTGTTTCAATATTCTTTATACTTTGTTTTATCTCAAAAAAAATATTCTTTATACTTTGTTGTTGTTCCTCTGGATTGTTGTTATGTCTTTCAGATTGCTCCTCTTCTTCCAAGTTTACCTAAGTGTCAAACTTGTTCTTGTTTTCTGCCTTTTCTTCATTGTCATGGTTATCTGTGTTTTGCCTATTCTTTTGTACCCTTTCCCCATGATTAGATTTACTATTGTTATCTCTATTCTTTTTATGTTGTATCACCTGCCATTGCTTTTGCTCAGTTATTATCCCTCCGGTTCTGCCAATTTTCATGGTCTTTGTTGGTGGCTGTTTTGGTTCCTCAACTTTCTTTTCTTTCCCTTTATCTTTTGGAGGTGTATTAAGTTGTTGCCCACCTGCATTAGCCTTGTTTTCATTCTGTACTTCATTCTCCTTTGTCTCTTCACTCTCCTTATTTGGTCTAAATTCAGGGTGAATACTCCAACACCCTGTCATATCATGACCCTGTAGTCTACAATGAGTACAATATTTTGGCAAGTAATCATATTGAATCTGTTGCCATTTTGACGTAATTCTCCCGTTTGCTCATCAACACAATTAATTTGGATTCTTTTTGGTAGTTCCTTTAGCAAATCAACTTCCACTTTCACCCTTGCACAACTTGACCTAGTTTGATTATTGGTAGCCTTATCTATGACCAGTGGTTCACCTACTGCTTTCGCCATCGAGAACATGGATTCCTTTTCAAACAAATTTGTTGGAAGGCCTGGGAATGATATCCATGCTATTGCAATTGTGGTTTCTTCCTCCGGATTAAACTACGGATCCCACTTCAGGAATCTTATAGGAAAATACCTATTTCGAACATGTAACTCCCATGCTCTAGACATTAATGCAGCATAGTCTTCTAGTAAGATAATCTAATCAAGACATGACGATCTTCAAGATATCCGATGTTGCATGCTCCTTTGATCTCCAATTGTGTTGGCATATTCTTTCTCAGCGACTGAAAGTCAGGTCTACCGTATGAGAATTTTGCCACTACTGCATATTGTAAATTTTGCTTTATACACAATCGATCAAATTCTTTCTTTGTCCATGTGATGGTGGGTTCTCCGTGCAAATACTTGATAGGTTTTAGCACAATGGGTTCTGATTTTTCTGGGTTAGTAGTATTATGAAGGGCTGCTATGTAATTGTTCGTGGTAGGCAAACCAGCCACCGGTGGTGGCTGGCTGCCAGCCGTCATGGCCATTCCAAGTAATCCGGTGAGACTAGGTTTAGGTTTAACAAGTGAAAACATTATAAATATGAAGAAATTTTACGTACTTGTTCCTTTGAGCATCTTTTTTCTTCAAACATTGTTTCCAACCTCAAAACATTTTGTGATCTTTTTACTTACTAAGATATACTATTCTGTATTTTGAGCAATCTCAGATGACTTTGTCACTTACTATAAGAATGATTTCATATTTCAGGTCTTGCAAAAATGTCATTTAGCTGATATTGTAAAGCAGGATCTAAGGCTTCTTGATGCACCAGGTACAAATACTAGGTTCCGTGGTCTGAACCCACCTTTATATTCAAAATACACAACATTTGGAAAGGGAAACAAATGATCTTCAAATTAATGATCAAGAATTTTATGTTGCAGTTGCAGAAGACGGAGAAAACTTGAGTGTGGATCAAAGGCAGATTGTGTGCCTAGCTAGAGTGTTGCTACAGAAAAGGAGAATATTGGTACTTGATGAAGCTACTGCTTCAGTGGATACAGAGACAGACAATGTCATTCAGAAAACTATAAGAGAAGAAACTCCTAACCAGTGGTTGAAGAACAGTTCTTCCGCATTTTCAAATCTGGTGGCAGAATTCTTGCGAAGATCATCCAAGGGGTTAACCTAAAAGCATGCACATGTGGTAGTACATCTAGTATAGATCCTCTAAAAGGAAGGAATAACTAATTCAATCTGCCAATGTTAATGTGGCATTGTATAGTACAGAATCACAAACTGACATCAAGAAATACAGCAAATTGAGAAGCTACTTCAAAAGAGTATATTTCTTATATCTGCCAACGAAAGGTGACATGAAACCTGCAGGATATGTACAGTGTTTATTCTTAATCCCTAACTCAGTTCATGTTCTTAAAGTAGCTATTTTTATGTTGAAAGAATTTTCAAATAGCAATCCATTGCGTCAGTAATAAGACTTAGAGTAAATGAATTACTTCTTGATTTTTGAAGGTTATTTCTTGATGTAACAAAATAACCTGAATAGAGTTTTCTATGGTTCATCCTAACTGACCTTTAAATTGTGTTTGAATCTTGTTTAAATATCAATTAAAGTGAATATCAGGTGATTAACCTCTTAACGTCCCTCATACATAACCTTAGCAAGAAAATAAATTACATTACCTGTAATTTGTAATATCTGCTATTCCTTCAGGGGTGAGGACATTGAAAGATATAAATAGTTACATCACATACTTCTGCTCAAATATTATCATGTTGCTTAGCTGCTGAATACACCAGGATTATCTTTTGGTTCACAAGGCCAGTGTTGGAGCAGTTCACAGGAGTCCACTGGTGCTTCAAAAGACTAACTGTGTAAGCTAATGTTACAAAGCTCCATGCCAGGTTCTAGTTCATTGCTCATGATCCAAGTTTTTCTTTTCTTTATGTAGGCTTGTGAAGTTGAGTGATATTGAGAATGTCTAGATATATACTTAAGTTTAAGATTATTGAAATTCCATGTTGATGCTTAGCAGATTAACCCTTTTCCAGATGATATGTGACATTGGTGGATTGTCCATTGTCCTCTACACTTGAGTTGCACTCACTCACTACAGGCTGCAATAAAGAACTGGAACACTTGCTACTTTATACATTTCTTGAGAAGGATAAAATTGCTTCAAATAAATGCAGATCTGGTTTATGCTCAGTGGAGAATCCAAAACACTTGGATGATGATCTTGAAATTGCAATTTTTTTTATTTTTTTTGTGTTGGCATAATCGTGGTATTTTGGGCCAACTTACTAGATTGCCTATTCCATCGAGTACTTGTTATGTCCCACCAAGTTTCTCTACCCACTAAGGCTTAGGTAGCTGGATATAACTACATGTCATCATCCACTTCAGACTAAGGCTACATGCCTCTTTGTTATTGTCTTTTTTATTTTTCGATCAAACTCTTTGTTATTGTCATTGCTTGTAGATTTGCATGTGTTTGTTGGGATGCAGCACCACGTGACAAGGAAGATATTGAGTAATGTTAAATGTCAGTAACACTGTTCCTACTTCCCGTGATCCAAAACAAGCTTTGGGACCATGCTTCCCAAACTATTTTATGCAACCCACAATTATGGAGGGCTATTTGCACAACAGTAATTCAACTAGCATTATTATATAAAAAAAAAGTAATGTCCATTCCTTATTCATATTAAACTATTTTGTATGATATAAAGTTGAAGCACCTTGATGCACATTTTTGTGAATGGTTCTTTTATGAGAGTGAATGTTGAAACCTTTAACTCGAAGATGAGTGTTGCAGAAATGTGAATATTAAGATGAATGTGTGAACGCAAAGTTATGTGAAACTAAAAATAATTACATTTGACAGACTTTATATTGCATTCTTTAGGATATTGAGAAAAAAAATATATTCTATTGATCTGTCCTATTCTATCTGGTATCATATATTTTCCACCACCTAAATATCTTCATCCAAGAAATGCTTATGTCGCATTCTAGATGTGTTGGAATATAATGCTAGTTTCCTAAACATTTTTCAGATCTCTAGTTTATTTCATTCCTATCTTTTACCTTTCAACTTCAAAATTGTTGAAGAATGAAAAAGCCTCATACTGGTGGTTAATGAGATGACTGAACTTTTTACAAGGCTTGAACAATCTTCCTACATTTGAGCTAGTTTAAAATCTAATTTTACATGGTATCAGAGCAGAATTCATCTCACACGATGTTGAGCGGCCAAATGCCAAATGTTCAACTCTGGATGTGAGGTGGAATGTTGAAGAATGAAAAAAGTCTATATTAATGGTTCGTAAGATAGGTGATCTCATTATAAGGCTCGGACAATTCAAATTTTGGTTTGGTGCATAACATATTGGGCTATTCGCACTAGTTCATTTGATTGCGTTTAGCTCAAGTTTGAAGAGTCATGCGTTAAACAATCAACATACATGAATATAATTTTGCAACAAATTGCTTAAGAATCTTTCAATGTCTATAACCAGCCTGGAGACAAGGAAATTTAGAAAATATTAAAATGTTAAATCTATGAGTCTCAACACATATAATCTAAACATTTTTTTAACCGTTATGATTGTCTTGCGTTAATTGGTCGGATCTAATGATCAATATATACAATTAAACCTTATTATAACAATATCGTTTCTCTGAATTTTTTTGATTGGTATAGCGAAATATTTACAATTATATAACTTATATTGTAAAAATATAGTCCAGAACTTACATTACAAATATTTAGCCAAAGCCATAATCCGATATACAATAACATACAAAACTCTCCTACTTTTTTTTTATAAAAATATTTAAAAACTTGATATACAGGATCAAAGATGTTACTTGTGACATATTTCATCTGATAAAATTACAACACGTTATTTGAAACACATCTCTTATTTATTATTTTTGTAACAAAAACAAGATAATGAGTAGTAGTAGTAGTAGTTAGATAGTTGAACTACTGGTTTACATTACAAGAATGTGATTATAACCTTTTTAAAAATAACAATGATTAACTATTAAAGAATATCCCAATTTATATAACATTTTTTAGTCGGTTTAAAACACAATGACATATTTTTATATTTAGTAACAATTTAACTTTAAAATACTCATTTTATGCTTAGTGGTATGTTTTATATCCACACTAACATTTATGAGTTATTTTAGGTGACAAGTTTCAACACTTCCCCTTAAAGAAGGAATGAGTTAACTAATTAAGTATTTTAATTAAATTATTCTTATTAATTGTACTTTGAAAATTCTCAAGTTTTGACTACAAATATTACAAGTAGTTTGAGAAATAATTACTTTAATTTAATGACAAGGTCATAAGGTATAACTGGAAAAAATTAATTCCCTTTGATTTACTAAAATAAATCAAAAAAGACTAGTGACTATGATTTGATCTTGGAATCTCACGGTGAGTTTTGAACCCCTCAGGCCTCAGCTACTAAGTCAACAACTAATCTTACATTGAGGAGGTTTAAAATCAGACATATAAATTATTTAAAATATCTTAAATATACAACGTAATTTTTTTCCAAGGGGTTCGGGTAAACCCCCTCGGCAACCTCTAGGTCCGCCCCTGTCTATGACCAGGGTCTGATTCTTTTCCATGGGTCAAGCACTTGAAAATATTTTTTCGATATGGATGGTGGTGAAATTCGATCTCAAGACCTTTGTCTACTCTAATATCATGTCAAATTAAATTTTAGATCTAACTCACTCAAATACCAACAATTTGTTCAGTTGGGCCATTTGCCATGTTCTGCTGTACTTTCCCAATAAATAAAAGAAATAAATAGTACCATATATTGAAAATAGCGAAGAGAAAAAATGACGTTAGATCAAATTAGCAGAATAGGTCTTGGATTTATTTCCGTTAATTCAACATAAATGTGTTGATTGTGATAATTTTATAATCTTATTAGAAAATCCATATAAATTAATTGGCTAACCCTCTTTCATGCTTGAAATTGATTCTCTCAAAGAGAATGGTCAAATATTGCATAGTGTACATTTTCATATTTAATTTAATTAGAAATCTCAAATTTAAAAAATTGAATTCGAAAAAAATATTCTTGCCATCTAATTTTTTTAATTTTTTCTAACGTAAATTACATTATATTTATCGAACTTCAAAGCAGATATATCATGTACAACGTCAAAAAAAGTCTTCCAAGTTAAGAGTAGTTGTCGGTGACCATTTATTTATCATTATTATTATTATCTGTCTTGTCTGACTTTAGTCTAAAAATAAATATTCGTTCCTGTAACAAAAAATAAAACTCTGTGTGAATGAATATGTCCAAATAAAGATACTTTTTTTAAGAAATAATTGATCTCAATATAAATTTTGACAAGACAGTTTTTTCATGCTTCTATTAATGATAATGATAATTAATTAATATTAATAAATGATTAAATGAGGAAGGGAGAACTCAACACATGATTTTCATTAATTAAGGACTGCCAAATGCAAAAATGGGGAAAGTAAAATCATAAAGCAAGAGAGAAGAAATGTATTGCGAATATTTATTACATTTTGAAATTAATTTATGAAAGATGATAAATATATCCTTCAATTTTGTTATTTAGAGCTGGTATGTCTTTCGTTATAAAAGTAGCTCACATATATTCCTATCATTATAGAAGTGATTCACATGTACTTCTACCGTTATAAAAGTGACCCACATATATCCTTTTTCATCTGACGAGTGAAAAAAAAATCTAATATATTTTTTTGATTTTCAATTTAAAAAATTTCATGTAGTGGTAAATGTGATCCTTTTAACGAAGTTCAAGAGTATATTTAATCTTTTTCGCACATGAATTGTTTTTTATTTTTTTAATTATTATTATTTGAGTTTCTTATTCTTATTTCATATTTTATTTAGTGTGAAAATAAGAAAAAAAAATTTAAAAAAACAGAGGCCTGAATGAAAAAAAATTGTTAAGAAAAAAATCTAAAATTATTTTTTTGCGGCTATATTATAATTTTATTTTTGTATTTGTAAAATAATTTGAGGTATCTATAATAAATTTTACAAAAAAATTAGTGATTTTTTTACCATCAAAGTAATAAATTTAAATTAGCGTTGAATAAAAAAAATACGTGTGAGAACGATCAAATATCTCTACATGGATTTCTTAATAATAAATTAAAAAAATTAATTTAAAATTATTTTTTTCACTTGCATTAGAGAAAAATGGTATATGTAAGTCATTTGTGTAACAGTTTTTTTTTTACCCTCCCTAGGAACTCCCACCCCTTCTCCCTTGGTGACTCGAACTCACAACCTTCAGGTTGGAAGTGAGGGGTACTTACCATCCGAGCAACTTCCTCTCGTCAGTCATTTGTGTAACAGTTTTTTTTTTACCCTCCCTAGGAACTCCCACCCCTTCTCCCTTGGTGACTCGAACTCACAACCTTCAGGTTGGAAGTGAGGGGTACTTACCATCCGAGCAACTTCCTCTCGTCAGTCATTTGTGTAACGGTAAAGATATGTGTGTGTGATTCTCATATCAAGA